AGACCCCGCTGTGCAACGCCGGGACGGCGAGCCCGGCGTCGACACCGCTCTGCCCCCTGCACCCGGCATCCCGCCGTGTTCTGGGACACGGGCGGGCACCGCGGGATGCCCGAGCTCGGTGCCCGCTCTCCGGTGACTCACCCAGCAGCATGAGCGGGCGTCCCGAGAGGCTGGCGTTCTCCAGGTGCAGGACGACCAGGCTGCTGCTGATGCGCAGGGCGCGTGCCACGAAGGGCGCGGAGTGGTCCAGCAAAGGCGTGTTTCGGGCATCCAGGTACTGCAGGCAATTCGTCTGGGGGCAAAGACATGAGAGGGATCAGCGTTCAGCCCCGCGAGCCTCGGCCCGCTGTTTTTTTTGGCTGTTTTTCTAAGTTGGGTTTAAGGCCAGATATTTACAGGCCAAGTCCCATCCCGGCCACCAACGCTGCCTCCGGGCTGCTCAGATAAGAGCTCCTGGGAAGACTTACGCCCATCCGAAACATCGTTTTGGTCACCCCACGGGCTTCAGATAAGAGGCAAAGAGCCAGAAGGAACTGCTCAGATAACCCCGTGTGCCGGGACGGCCCGCACCAAGCTCCACGCTCGAACCGCACAATTCCAGATAAACACCTTATCTCCCGGAGAATCGCCTCCACACCGAGTCTGCCGTCACCCTCAAGCCACGGCACCGGGGAGGATGCGCTTCAGGTGACCGTAGCAGCACCACGTTCTCCAAAGAAAAGCTTCCCTCGTCCTTACACATCCGAGGACGTGCTGCCCTGAGCTCTCCGGATCCGGGGTCTGGGAAGGCGTCAAGCCGTGCGTCCCTTGTCTGGGGTTTGCCTCCAAGACCCTTCCCCGCCTTCGCACATGCCGTCTAGTCCTGCTCGAGATCCGCAGCACGCCAATGGCCTCTGTTTGGCTGATTTACCATTTTCCATGCTAACATAAGCCCCTTCACACCTCTGGATTCTCCCTCGCCTACCCAGAAATTAAGAGCCCCGAGCTGCAGCCATCCCAAGGGTGTCTTGAGCCCCTTCACCGCACCCGTGTACACGCAGCCGGGTTTCAAAGCATCACTACGGGGTCGGCCAGCACCGCGTGGTTGGCTTCTCCAAAACACAGGGTGGGCATTGCCTGCACTGCGCGAGCTCCGGTTTCCAATATCAACCCCACCGGGAAGACGCCTGCGTGGCAGGGAACGCTACCGGGACGCAGGCTTTCCAACCGGAGTTGTGCAACGCACCTGCGGCGCTGGGTGAAACGTCGGCAGCGCCAAAATTAAAATTAGCAGGTCGATAGGTAATTGCGGATAGAGGGTGGTTTTGCGCCGCGCCCCGAGCGGGAAGCATGAGACACTGCCTCCTCTGCGCTCGGCTTTCAGAGCGAACTCAAGCCCTGAACAATGAGGTTAATTAGCCCTGCAAAGCCAAACACTGGCGCTAGTCATCCTGCTGTGAAGATAATGAATACCCAGCTTGAGAAGCTGACCCTGCAAGCATGCCGCTAATAAAAGTCTGCGTTTTTTTTTTTTTCCTGGGATCTGCATTTCCATTTTCTCTGCTCCGGGTGCTCGCTGAGGCATTAAGCAACCTCGTGGCAGGTGGGAACGGTGATTTTTTTTTTTTTTCCCCCTGCCTCCGAGCCTGGGCTAACCAGGTCTTTCTGAACCTCCGAGCACAAAACCACACCTACGGTCTCGGGAAGCACGCAGGAGTCTTTCGAGAGGCTCACCCGAGACCACCCGTGTAGCCACAGGGAGTCGGGTGCTGAAAATATTTATGAGCGAGCACAAACCTTCCTCATCATGTGGGCAGCTGCCTGCCAGCCTCGGGTGCCGATGTGTTTGTTAAAGGAGATGTTGAGGTGCGTCGTGGTTCCAGCCCTTGCTCCACACCCTGATGCGATGTCCCAGCCACTGAGCTGTCACCCGGGGAGGGGGGGACCAGCCAGCACCACACCGCCAAACCCATGCTGTGGTTTAGATCTACAGCCCCATCACTGCGGCAGCTTTGGGACCATCCTTGGACAAAAAGCAGGTCCAAGGTACCTCCACAGAGCCTGACCCTATAATCCTTCTTTTAAAGGCAATTTCTGGGCTGGAAACAGCTTTCCCACCTCTAGAGGCTCTTTGCAGGGTTGTTAGTTGTTTTTCCTCCCTAGAACTAGAGTAAATGTGGAGTTTGGGACCCCAAAAAAATTTGCAGTTTGACAATTTGTATGAGTGTTGCTCTTAAGCCAAGCATTTCACTCAGTTTTAACCTTTTAAAAGCCTTTTCCCCACCAACTTAACATTTGGAACAAAAGAGACTTTGTTTTCTCAATGGTATGCTTTGAAAACTTCAAATCTTTTTCCTCATCTACATTCCCAAGTGAAGATATTAATCAAAAAAATGTGTCAACAACAACAACAACAACAACAAAAGGCATCTCGCCATATTCCTGGTGTCCCCACCATCAGGCACGTGCTCGGGGACCGTCACCGGGGCAGACGGGGACCCGGCAAGGCCTGGGATGGGACGGACGGCCCCCGCTCCCGCGTTCCCTGCCGCAGGCTGTGCCGGCAGAGCCGCCTGCGGGTGAAGATTTCCACGAGTGAGCCCGAGACGGCACCTCGCGGAGGGATTCAACCCCCACCCTGCCCCTCTTGGCACCGGGAGAGAAAGCACCAGGGACACGCAGGCGCTTGAACCAGACTTCCGAGGACAGGGGAAAATGTTGTTTTGTTTTGTTTTTTTTTTTCCCCTGGATATTCAACCTGAGCTGAGGCCGGGCTATCAGCTCGGCGCCCGGCCGCTGCCTGCACGGTTATCCAGCTCCGCAGGCAGCAGCGACACTTTCCCAGCCAAAAACCCACCCGATAATCCCATCGGGCTACCAAAAAAAAAGGTCTAAAACCCAAGATTTATAGCAGGGTTAGGAGTGAAAGGGATTAGCAGAGCAGGACTCATGCCTGTGAAACGTCTAAAGCTCCTACGGCAGAAGTGGAACGATTTGCTTAATTACATAATGAGCCTCTTTGGAGAAAATTAGCTGAAATGTATGCTGGAGCGGGCAGAGGAGAGCCACAAAAGCGCTGCAAGGCTTCCAGAAAAAATATGCGGAGCAACCTGGAGGACTGGAAAACACCAGCATGAAGGCGAACAAGAGAAAGAACAGGTCTTCGGGGAACAACAGGACTTTCTGCTGGAAACGGGGTGCTCATCGGCAGGAAACGAGGAGGAGAAGAATCTGGGTACCAGGTGACTAAGTCCCCGGCGTGACGCACCCGGGGGGAAAAAGGCTGCTGATGCTGAATGAATCGGGGGGACGGGGACAGGAGCGGGAGGTCTCAGGGCTGCGGGGGGCTGGCGTTAACCCTCCGCGGCTGTTTTCCCCCCAGCAGCAGACACGGAGACACGTCGGACCCCTCGTGCCCCGCAGACGGTCTCGCTTTAAAGCGACTGGAAGAGAAAACCATAAAGCGCCGAGGTCTGCAATCTCTCTGCCCGCACCGTCCAGCTCTGAAGCCACGGGATACGGTTGAATTATTAACGTGCAATTGTTCCTCCTGCAAGATAACGAGTCGAACGGAGCACAGGATCATTTTACAGCCAAAGACGTCACGAGCTCAGCCAGCCCGTCCCTGCTCTGCGGCCGCACGTCCCTCGCCGGCCTGCGGCGCCGTCGGGGGGACTCATCCACCCCCAAACAGCCCTGTCCTGTGGCCATGGG